TCTGAATATACCTGTCTGTGATGACAGTCTATGTACAGACGTTTATTTTTCATACTTGTTCTTGCTAATATTGTGAAGGGTTGATAGGCCCAAAGCTATCTGGCAGCAGTTTGGAGTTTTTAAGAGTTAATTGTTTAGCTAACGTAACCCAGTGACAATGGCTCCCAGGCTGCTGGCACCTAGATTGTGGTGCCTCTGGAAAATCTTTGTGCAGGGTACAGCTGAGAGTGGCATTGTTACATAACTGACAGCACGATGTGAGATGGGCCAGTCCTTTGTCACAAGTTGGTGAGAAGGGCAGAGGTTGGGCACTGCATTCATCACAGAGGTCCACCCAGATGCCTGGACCAGCAGCTGGCATAGCCTCTCAGTGAGCTACTAAGAGACCAAGCCAGACGCTCCTGCCCACTCTACAGCCCGGTGCTCCAGTGAGCGTTGAAGAGGCAGAGCCGAGATCCGGTGCCTGACAGACACCAGCTCTCTGCTCACTGAAGTCTTAAAGGCAGCAGAGAGACCGATGCTGCATCTGCCTAGGTGAGTATATTTTCTTTCAGGATGCCCAATATGCCATGTCCATGCATCTTTTTTGTAGTATATCACACTGCAACACAAAGTAAGGTACGAATCCAGCCTAATTTTATTTATTCCAGTTTATATGTACACTGCTCAAAAAAATTAAAGGAACACTTTTTAATCAGAGTATAGCATCAAGTCAATTAAACTCCTGGGATATTGATCTGGTCAGTTAAGTAGCAGAGGGGGTTGTTAATCAGTTTCAGTTGCTTTGGTGTTAATAAAATTAACAACAGGTGTACTAGATGGGCAACAATGAGACAACTCCCAAAACAGGAATTGTTTTACAGGTGGACATTTTTTTCCTTACTTATCTTTTCTGTCTGTTTTTCACTAGTTTTGCATTTGGCTAGGGTCAGTGACACTAATTGTAGCATGAAGCGATACCTCGACCCTACAGAGGTTGTACAGGCTGACGAACTCCTCCATAATGGCACATCAATACATGCCATTGCCAATCTCAGGAGCATAGAGGAGATTCCAGGAGACAGGCAGTTAGTCTAAGAGAGCTGAGCAGGGCCATAGAAGGTCCTTAACCCATCAGCAGGACTGGTGTCTGCTCCTTTGCGCAAGGAGGAACAGGATGAGCACTGCCAGAGCCCTACAAAATGACCTCCAGCAGGCCACTGGTGTGAATGATTCATGAAGCGAAACCTGGACCCTAGAGAGGTTGTACAGGTTGACCAAATCCTCCAGGATGGCACATAAATACGTGCCATTGCCAATCTCAAGAGCATGGAAGAGATTCCAGGAGACAGACAGTTGGTCTAAGAGAGGTGAGCAGGGCCATAGAAGGTCCTTAACCCATCAGCAGGACTGGCGTCTGTTCCTCTGTGCAAGGAGGAACAGGATGAGCACTGCCAGAGCACTACAAAATGACCTCCAGCAGGCCACTAGTGTGAATGTCTCTCACCAATCAGAAACAGACTTCACGAGGGTGGCCTGAGGGCCCAACATCCTCTAGTGGGCCCTGTGCTCACTGCCCAGCACCATAGAGGTGGATTGGCATTTGCCATTGTCACAGATGAGAGCAGGTTCACTGCACGTGTGAAAGACATGAAAGGGTCTGGAGAAGCCATGGAGAACGTTATGCTGCAGTTTTGATGGTGGGTCAATGATGTTCTGGGGCAGGGGCGGACTGACAACTCATGGGCCCCCCGGGCAATAGGGGATCATGGGGCCCCTGTGTCCTTGCCCAAACTCTAAAAAGCCTATGAAAAAGGTACCAGGGGCATCTCATGGGGCCCCCTACTGACCCCGGGCCCTCGGGCAGTGCCCGAGTTTCCAAATGGTCAGTCCGCCCCTGGTCTGGGGGAGGCATATCCATGGAGGGACGCACATATCTCTACAGGCTAGACAATGCCACCATGGTTGCCATTAGGTATCAGGATGAAATCCTTGGACCCATTGTAAGACCCTACCCTGGTGCAGCGGGGTCCTCGGTTCCTCCTGGTGCACGACAATGCCCGGCCTCATGTGGTGAGTGTTTTGCAGGCAGTTCCTGGAGGATGAAGGAATTGATAGCACTGAATGGCCCCCACGCTCCCCTGACCTAAATCCAATAGAACACCTCTGGGATATCATGTTTCGATCCATCTGACTCTGCCAGGTTGCACCTCGGACTGTCCAAGAACTCAGTGATGCCCTGGTCCAGATATGGGAGGAAATACCCCAGAACTGTCATCTCATTAGGGACATGCCCCGACATTGTTCGGTATGCATAAAAGCACGTGGGGGCCATATAACCTACTGATTACCATTTTGAGTTGCTGCAATGAAATTTCAGCAAAATTGACATGCCTGCTGCATCATTTCTTCACTTGGATTTCGGGGTGTCTTTGAATTCAGTCCTCTGTAGGTTGATAATTTTAATTTCCATCAAACGAGGCATCCTTACGTTCCTAACACATTACCCAGTCCAGATCAGTATAGATATCCAGCATGATATTTTTCCCCACTGAGAGCTAATGTGTTTTCAAAGTGTTGCTTTAATTTTTTTTTTTGAGCAGTGTAGGATTTTAGGAAGCCTCTAGTTGTATGGGTTGCTTATGCTATGCTGAAGTTGTAGAATGTAGGCTACTACTGGCTTAACCCTGAGGAACCTCAAACAAAAAGCAGTACTCCACAAAGCTGTAATTTAAAAAAAAAAAAAAAGCTGTTGGTTGTGCCAATACAGCCATAATTGGGCTTATGTGTTGAGCCTGTGTTGATGGGCTTTGGACTTACATCAGTGGCATCAAAGATGTTTCTGTGATCATTCAGAATTTGACAGGTGTTTGTCCTACTGTGGCTCTCCCTCTGACCTGCAATCAACCTGCTTCAAGTGGGTTTTGCATTCCCATTGACTTGTATGAGAGTGCAAGACTCATTTATAGCTAACAAAAGCCCCTTGGTACTAGCCTTTAAAAGGAATAGTTCACCTTTAACAGATACCCAGGTAAAGGATGTCTATAGATGACAAACTGTGCAGCTTTGGCCAAATTGAATAATGCTTTTGCAGAAGGTGTAGGCTGTTCACCTACCTCATGTAGCCGGATGTTAAAACTCCCAGTACATTGCTAGGACTTGCTAAGAGAAGACCAACTATTACTGTTCACCTTCACATCCCAAGAGTGAACTTTTTTTCTTTGATTTGAACCTCCTCACATGCACTCTCTCCCTACTTATGCAGTAGCTCTGAGTTCAGCATTTGAGAACTCGCTCCTGTGATGGTGAAGATTAACAGCAATAGCCGGGCTGGTCTACAACATCCTAGAAGTTTTTTTAGGCCAGGCTACATGAGGTATAATTAAGGCCTACACCTATAGCAAGGACATTATTCAACTTAACTGAAAGCTGCAGTTCAATTTGTCTACAGATGCCATTTATTTGCATAGGAAGTTTGTTTTACTTATTGTTTGAATTAATCAGATTCCAATGGTCATGTTCTAGTGCAAGACTGAATTGATTGTTTACCATAGGTTGTTTACGCCTTCTAATTGTCGTAGAAAGAGGCCCAATTAGATTTAAAGCTTAGTTCACCTTAGCACCTTAACCAAAAAAAAAAAACCCTCATTTTTGCAGGTTAAAAAAAAAGTCAAAATACTGTAGAGGAATCCTCTGCACAACATACAAAATGTGCTTTTATTTTTTTTTCGACCCACTCTATGGATCACAAGGGCAATGTCAGGCTCTTGCACACTCTCCCTACCGCTTTCTGCCTGTACATCTATACGGGATTTGAGTTTGAAAGCTGGATGAAATGTGAATGGACTACGAGTGCACTGAACATCACGGTCTAATTTTCAATTGTGGCAGGGGTTGTGTGGGAGAAGCACCCCTGCTCACTGAATTTATCCTTTAACATGTGTGTATCTGTACAGGTGTGGTGTCAACTTCACCATACAACATTCTTTATGGATAGTGAGTGGATCATTTTTTTTTGTTCTGCAGAATATTTAACTGTCATATGGTGATAGAGATAAATTGTATTAAAAAATGCACTTTCAAAGTATGATGAAATCAATGTGTGCTTGCTAAAAACTCATTAAAGATGAACTGTCAAAAAGGCAAATATTGTCTACATACATAAATCTTGGCGTGCTTTATGTATTTCTTTCAGATGTGTAGTACTCTAGTGTAAAACTTTACTGTGTGCAGAAATTTTCTGAAATAAAGAACAGTCACTGCTGCTTTCTCTGGTTGTGCAGGGTGACTGGTCTTGTATCTACCCCATCCTATAGGTTTTTTTCCAGGCAGCCTGTAGTGGGTGGACCTGCTTTATCACTGCTACTTTTACAAGGTAATAACTGGGTTTATAAAAGGCATTTGGTGCAAGCAAAGTGGATGTAGATCCTTTGTGGCTACCTAGGAATATATATTTTAATGAAAGTTTTTGTGCCTCAAGTGAAGACCAAAAATGTAAGCAAAGATCAAAAATGTTAATGTTTAAAACTTTATTGCTAGCACATATAACAAGCAAAGATCAGTATAAAAAAAAGAAGCCAATCCAAAGCACCACAAAGTGAAATATTGCGTAAAGGAGCTACTTTTTAATTGATAAACATGTCAGTTTTAAAATGTAATAATGAAGCCTTTACCATTAGAATGCAATACTTTTTTCTCCTAATGTTAGCATTTCGGTGACTACAGCAATAGAAGGGAACTATTCAGTACCTATTGGTTCACAGAAAAAAGGCACAGCAAATGTTACCTACAATACAAATATTGTTTTACCCCCTACATATTTGCTAAACACATACAAATATTTAAACCATTTTACTAATGGAGAATTTAGAAAAAAAAAAAATAAAAAGCTCTCCATAATGAAAAAAAAATAAAATCTTCCCCATAGTCAGTGCACTTTTTACAATTTTTCAAAATGGGAACATAGTAAAACGTAATTTCACCATCAATTTTTATTTTAAAAGACAAAACTCAACTGCAACCTAGTTCCCAATAGAGCTACTGCTAACAGACTGGAAGGAATAGCTGTAAGTTGAAGAAGCAGATGAACCTGTAGCATCAAAACTTCCTCTTCGAGATCCACTGCGTGACCCAGGGCGGGATCCTGACCGTGATCCTGGGGCTGAGGAAACATTGTAAGGACTACTTATGCCTTTAGAAGACACTGAAGCAGCTTCAAGCATTCGCAAACCTGTTACGTCTTCAACCATGCATCGATCTACAGCTTCTTTGTAAGAGATTTTCAGTTTAGTTTTTGGACATGTCAGAATTTTGGGGTAGTTGTTTATGTCTCGCAATTTCTGAGCGGCTCGACCATCAATCATACCTTTACGAATAGCCTCCTCTGTAGTTACTCTTGATTGTGTTTCTGGATCAAAAAGGCCTCCTGTTAGGTACTGGAATTCAAGAAAACGCTGTCCAGCCTCATAAGGCAACCAGTTCACCTTCATGGCTTCTGCGGCAGATAATTTTTTTTGTCCTCTTACTCCATCAAAGCCCGTGTAGGCCTTTTGAGCTTGCTTTAGTCTAGCTGACATATCATGATCTATTATGCCTTGAGAAACTGCATCTTGCAAGGAAACTCTCTGCCCAGAGTTGGGGTTAATAATTCCTCCAGTGCAAACTTGTGCTTCCAGTAAGCGTTGTCCAGTAATTGTATCTACAATGCCACGTTTGATGCCTTCTGATATTGATATTTTTTCATAGCTTTCAGTATCAAATATTGCTGCAATAGGTGTGGTTTCTTCTAAAGTGTCTGAAAATGAACCACTTTTAGACCATGAACTGGTTCGAAATTTGGGTGTGGACATGGATGAAATGGATGAAACAGAATCTTGTCTAGAGGTAACTAACACATCATCATTTAGGTTTCTATTGGAGATCATATCTGCAAACTGAGTAAGGCTTAGTGTACCAGCACGATATTGTTCAAAATTGCTCTTGTTGATTGTGCCTAGATCAATAGCCTCTTGGACATCATACTGGTTTCCTGTTTTTCGGTCAACAAGGACAACCCTCGTTGAACCATCTGAACCTGTAGTAGTGATTTCTTCCCATTCACACTCCTGTTCTGAAAGATCAATATAGGTTTCATAATCAATAAGCCCTTTGTTATAAGCTTCTTGTACTGTCATTTCTCGGTTTGTGTCTGGATCAACTATGACTACTCTACGCTTCCTAGAAGTCTTCTTTTGTGATGCTTGTACCAACTTTTTCTTTTCTTTTAGAGGCAGTAGACAAAGGTTGGTTTGTGAATCAACAATGCACCTTTCTTTTAGTTGTAGGTATGTCAAATTTTCTTCTGTGTTGGGATCAAAAAAGCCTTTGGTATCATCATCTGGATCAGAGAGAATTGCATTCATTTCTTCATTAAAGTACCCACGTTTGTAAGCAACATCCACTGGTAAACGATGACTGGCTTTAGGATCAATGATTCCACCTGTAGCAATTTGGGCTTCCAGCAAGCGGATTCCATGTCCCTTTTCAATAAGCTCCTTGTTCATAGCTTGAAAGAGTGATATTATATTCCCAGTTTCTGGGTCCTTATAGCCAGTAACAGCTCTTTCTGCAGACAGAAGCTTTTCCTTGAATTCAATTCCAACAAGACCTCTTCTGTAAGCTTCTTCCACTGGCAGCCTTAGATTATTTACTGGATCCACTATGAATCCAGTCGCTGCTTGAGCTTCCAGTAGTTCAAGTGTTGTTTCCAGGCCTCAACAAACCCTTTTTCATTGCATCATATATTCCTAATTTTTCTTTTGTAGCTTCATTATAGATTCCGGCAATGCAACTGGATCCCTGCAGAAATCTTTAATTCTTTCACTGACCTCTTCAACAGATATCTGACCAGATTCTAGTTGATCAACTGTGGTAGAGCGAATAATGCCAGACTCTACTAACTCAGTCAGGGGCACCTGATGTCTAATACCTTGGAAGGAGAGACTTTTCTTCATTACAGGCAACAAAAGCAATCCTGTATGAGGTTCTGCTCTGCACTTCTGTCTAAGTTGTGCATAACTGACATTTTTCTTTGTGGTTGGTTCAATGAATCTCTTTGCCTCATCACTGGTGTCATTTATTGATCGATTCAAATCCCTGTCAATCAAGCCTCGTGATAATGCAACCTCAACAGGTACAAAGACACTGTTCACTGGGTCAACAATTCCACCTGCTGCCAACTGGGCTTCTAAGAGCCGCAACCCAACATCTCGGGTGATCAAGTTATTCTTAATTGCTTCGGCAACACATACGGTCTTTCCAGAAAAAGGATCTTTAAAGCCAGTGACTGCTTTTTCTGCAGTATAAATGGCCTCTCTGTCTGGAAAATCAATAAGATCCCTAGCAACAGCGTTATCTACAGTCAGCTTTTCACTTTTCTGCAGATCTATTATACCTCCTGTTGCGGCTTGAGCTTCTAAGAGCATTACCGCACTTTCAGGCGAAATTAGCTTCTTCCGCTTAGCTTCTACAAATGAATATTTCTCTTTAGGTGTGACAGAGATACCTGCAATTGCACCAGCACCTTTCAGGTAAGGCTCAATCTCAGTAGCTACCTCTTCCAATGATTTTTTTGTCCTTTTATTAATTTTTCAAATGTTGACTTTGTTATTATTTGGCATTCAAGAAGCTGATGAGCTGTAATCTTTTTCCTTAGCCCATCGAAAACAAATTTAGAAGGATCTATTGACATATCTTCATCAGTCTGAGTTTGTCTGTTGGACCCAGAAGGACGTCTTTTAAGATTTTCCATCTCCCTTTGCAATGTCAGTCTCTGTGCTTCAAAATCAGCTTGGCTAGTGCGATGAGTCTCCTCCAGCTTACGTTTGTACCTCTCTTCAATTGATCTTATCTCTGCCTGCAATCTTTCAATTTCACTTTTAAATGATGCCTTTTCTCTTTCACTTCTCTCCCAGTCACTTTCAATTCTCTTTACATCCTCCTCCTTACGAGTATACTGACTCTTCCACTGATTAAGGTCATTTCGAATCTGCTGCTTCTCATCTTCTAGACGCTGCTTGTTACGCGTTTCAGCATCTAGTGCTGCCTTTGCACGACTAAGTTCCTCTTCCAGACGCTGAAGCCTCATCTTGTCTTGCTCCAGAAGTTTTAATTTCATAAGAATGCTTTCTTTTTCTTGAAAGACTTCTGAGTATTTACTGCTTGATTCCTGTATCTTATTAGTTGCCTAGATCAAAGACAAAAAAAAAAAAAAAATAAATAAAAATGTTTACATCTGCATCTTTGATTGTAAACATTTAATGGTTCAACTAGTTTAACTTTTCCACTGTTTCCAAACACAAACCTGAATCTCCGATAACACTATCACTTTATTTTTGCAGAATACAGAACCTTCTTTTAGGGCTATATTCTGTATTATAATTGAAATATTGCTATTCTTTGGCTGGTATATTGTCCTTTTTTTAGAAATTGAAAAATTATTTTCAGTTTTTAAGTAAAAAAGGCTTTAAAACTCTTTTAATCTAGTAGTAATATTAGAGAATCATTAGCAAAGTACTCGAAAATAATAAAAAAAAAGAATAAAATTACAAACTCTGAAGGACAACATTTAATGAAAACAGACATTGGACTTTATAAACAATTGACAGACAATGCATATGATTAAAACAAAACTCATTAACTCACAACACGTACAAGGATAGATGATAAAAAGGATTACAATGTTAGTATATTTTATATTGAGAGCAAAACATTGTTTTGATCTTTATATATTGTGCAAAATATTGTTAGTATAAATAATGTAAAAGCATGTTTTTCTAAAATATTATCTGCATTAGGTTTATGTTATTGTATATAATGTATACATGCATATATAAAGGTTATAGCTGCCATTAACTGATATTACATGAAAAACATTGACTACTATACTGCTGACAATGTAATCCTGTTCAAAGTGCATGAACCATGCATAAAACATAATGCCCATATTAAATAAAGTGAACTGTAACACCACCAATAAAAGTAAAATGTAATATTTTCAGATATAAGTCCACACAAATTACTTTCTATGGCACCCACTGAATTATATATTCATTATGATCTGTTAGTAATCTGAGCCAGATTTAAACATCATATTCCCATTAGTCTTGTTTTACTTTTTCAAATGCTAATAAACAATTGTTAGTCATTTATTAAATACATTTGACCTGATAATGGGAGAGATTTGTTTAAGATGATTGGTACCTGATATGTCAGGATGGCAAATAGCCAGTAAATGTACCACACTGAACTCAGGCACCTTTTTTTCTTAAAGCACCGGTAATGTACTTGTAATATCTCAGCTATAAATCTGGCTCTGTTAGTAACAGATTATATAGATCAGGGAATTTACTGATTAATCTGAAGACAAATTAAGGAAATTTATCTGAATACCTCTAGTGCTTGCTTTTGGAATTTTTCAATTTCCTGTCTCAAATTTTGTCTCTCTTTCTGCAACTCATTAATAAGGCCCTGAAGCTCGAGGGATCGCTTGTTGCTGATTTGTAGCTGGTTCTTTAATTCAGTAATAGTTGCATTTTTTTCACCATCCACTTCATCTTTACACTTTTTGACTTCTTCATTTTCTAGTCGAACATAGCGCAGCTCCTCTTCCAGCCTTAGGTGTTCTTTAGTCAGATTTTCTGTGATTGACTGCAGTCTTTCTATTTCTATTTTGCTTTCATTCAAACTTCTGTTTCTCTCTTCAATGGTTTTTTGCAAGTGCTCATTTCTGATATGAGCTTGTCGTAGGTTTTCTTGTTCTACATGTAGCTGACGGCGTAGACTTTCCACCTCAGCTACGAGTTTACTCAGCTCATCAATATTTCTTTGTTGGTCTCTCAGTTGACCATCTAAAGATTCCCTTTGCTGGCGCAAGTCGTCTTCTGTTTGCTTCTTAATAATGGTAATTTGCTCTATTTGCTGGGTCAGAGTTGTAATCTTTTTCAGTTGTTCGCCGTTAGTTCTTCGAAGTGCCTCTAGCTCTTCTTCTAGCTTTTTATTTTTTGTATGCTCATCTGAAGCAATTCTTTTTTGCCGATTTATTTCCTCCTCTAGTTTATTCTTTTGCATCTGTAGGTCTTTCAGATTGATTTGAAGTCTGTTGACATCATTTTCCTTTCCTTGTTTTTCTGCTGACAGTTTTTCAAAATCTGTTTTAAGTCTTATTAACTCTTGTTCCTGTATCTTCAGTTTGCTTATGGTCTCTGTGGCAGTGCTGTTGACTTTTTGCAGGTCAAACTGGGATCTCTGTAATTTAATATGCTCCTCCTCAAGCTTTTTCCTTTGGTCTGTTTCAACATCAATCAGCTTTTTTAGACGTTCAATTTCTTTGTTGCGCTCCTGAATAGTTTTGGCAGCATCATCAAGAGATTTCTTGTGTTTTTGCCCTTCTTCATTCTTTAAAAGGCTGATTTGTCTCATTTCAGTTTCAAGCTGTTGCCTTTTCTGAGTGAGTTCTGATACAAAGGATTTATGCTGGTGAGCATCGTCTTCTGTTTTTTTAAGATTGTTTGTCATTTGTGTGAGAGAAGTCTTTAGTCTGTTGACTTCTGTCAACAAATCCCGTTTGTCTCTTGTTAAATTATCAATTTGGTCATTCAAGCTGCTGATGTTATCTTCTTTTTGAACAGTTATCTCGTGGATGGTGGTTTTTGTAATATTAATTTCTGTCTCGTACTTGTTCCTTAAATTTATAATCTGTTCATCATAATTGTTTCTTACCTTTATGAGCTCATTTTCATATTGTCTCTGGCGTGCAGCTTCCTCTTGAAGTTGATACTTTAGCTTGTCAATCTCGTTGTTTCTGTCCTGAATTGTCCTACTGGCCTCTTCTAATGACCTCTTGTAGCCTGTGGTCTCCTCTGATTGAACGCGGACTAATTTTTGTAACTCCAATTCTAATTGCTGCTTCCTCTGAGTGAGCTCAGACCCTGAAGCCTTTTGTTGGAAAACATCTTCTTCTGCCCTTCTACGCTGCTCATTTGTTTGGACAATATTCTCATTAAGTCTGGTAATTTCTTGTGTGAGGTCACGATTTTCTCTGGCAAGTTTCTCAAGCTGAGATCTGAGTTCATAAGCATCTTCTTCTTTCTGAACAGTAATTTGCTGTATGGTAGTCTTCGTAATGTTTATCTCAGATTCATACTTGTTCCTCAAACTACTAATTTCGTCACTACATTGCTTCCTTACCTTTGACAGCTCAGTCTCATATTCCCTCTTTCTCTGGCCTTCATCTTGAAGTAGAAGTTTTAGTTTTTCTATCTCGTATTCTCTCTCTTTGATTGTCTTGTCAGTTTCTATTTTATGACGGTTGACACCTTCTAATTCAGTGTGCCTTCTTTGCTGTATTTGATCAAATTCATTCTTTTGAAGCTCACATCTGTCCTCCAGGGCTTTTCTCCTACGTTTCTCATCATCAATTTCATAGGTAAGTCTTGTTATCTTCTCATTTAGTTCTGTTATCTGACTATAGCATTTCTCAAGGTTCTGTTTAGAAGAAGACCCATCCATTTCAGCTTTCCTCTTCATGTCCTCCAACAGGAGAAGTCTTGATTTATATTCTGAGCATTCTATTTGGTACTTTTGTAGGTTCTGATCAAGGAATTTGTTCTTCTGTGAATTGTCACTGTTTGCATCTCTGGCAAGTCGAAGTTCTTCCTCAAGTAGCTCAATCCTGGTATTTTTCATCTGGAAAAAATGAAGACGAGTAGGAACATCATTTCATGGTTTCAAAGGAAAGAATCCAAAAAATATATAATTAAATTATTTAGAATAAGCACTTGTTTAAGGCTGCCCATACAAGGTTAGTTTTTACTTTTATTCAGTTAGTGGGCTGAATGAAAACAGATTCCTCCATCCACAGAAACGTGGTGAAAGGAGACATCCATTTCTCTGCCGGGACATTCTGAAAGCAGCACCCACTGATATCATTAATAAGTGGCTGCTTATTATATTCTGCGGCCACTGGCCATCAGAAAAATTTTCAGCGTGTTCCTGTGACAGAAGTCAACCAGACAAATTTCGATCTGTGTATGGCCAGCTTAAGGCTAGGCATACACATATAGATTTTTCTCAATCATCCTATAGGCTGAACAAGAGATATCAAAAAGATTTTTCCATCCATGCTAAACAGTATGAATGGAGGAAACTCTGCTGCCAGCTATTGTATGTAAGCAATTGCGAAATATCCAAAGAGTGACTGCATCTGATAGGATAGGATACAGTCACTATACGGCTGACAATTTTTCACCCGGCTCCTTCAATCTTACACCAGGAATCAGATGAAATTTCAGTCATGGAAGGCCATCTTAAGTAGCTTTTTTTCTATGCATACAAGAAAACAAATCTATTAATTTCATGTTTTTAGAGGTGTGCGTTTAGCAGGCCAACAAACATGGGTTCCAAAATCACAAGTAGAGCTTTAAAAATTATGTGGTATCTGTTGATAATAAACAATTGAAACTGAGTGCAATATGATATGCATTTGTTTGATTGTTTTGAAACAGATGATCTGTCCAAATTGGTGATTAGCCTGAATGCACTGGCTTAGATAATATCACAGTATCAAAATATCCAGAAAGGCATGTGTGTTCAGCACTGTAATATGGTAATGCAAATATTATACATAGAAGGGTTGCACTTGGACAAAGTTCATATAAGAATCATGGTTGTTGACTCTTTAGCAAACTTTTCTCTTCTTCCTTTTCTCTGGAGTTTTAAGGCCACATTTACATTATTGCAATGCGGCACGTGCAATACAGCAACACACATTACATGCATTGGTGCACCCCCATGAACCCCAATGGACCTAAATTGGCATGTGTTGTGGTGCACCGCATTACTGACCTATTCAAAATAATGACATGCCTTAACACAGCGCACCATACAATGGTGTGAATGGGCCCCTAAAGGAGCAGTGCCAGTAGTACAATACAGATGAAATTTACAATTGAGGTTTGCTTTCTCGACACAGAAATAACCCACACATGAAGCATTAAAATATTGTTAGCAAACTTCTCAATAACATCATTTAGTACTACTGATACTGTCTGAAAGCATAATACAAGCATAAACTGTACACTCTAGAGAATTATATTTAACCACTTCAAGTCCGGACACTTTCACCCCCTTCCTGTCCAGGTCAATTTTCAGCTTTCAGCGCTGTCACACTTTGAATGACAAATTGCGCAGTCATGCAACACTGTACCCAAATGACATTTTTAGCATTTTTTTGAGACAGATAAACTTTCTTTTGTTGGCATTTATTCACCCCTGGGATTTTTATTTTTTTGCTAACATGAAAAAAGACCAGAAATGTTGGGGAAAAAAAAGTGTTTTTCTTATAAAATTTTGCGAATAATATTTTTTCATAAATCTTGGCTAATATGTATTCAGCTATCTTTTTAAAAAAAAAAAAAAATAATTTTTCAAAAAAACATTTTTTTTACATTATGCTTTTTTTTTTTTTTTTAAACATACAGTCACTCTAGCAGTACAGTGTCACCATAGTGACACTGTACTACTTGTGGGGGGGGGGGGGATTTGATGATTTTTTTTCTTCACACACAGATTACGTTTACACCTATAATTTCTCTTTCTCTCTGGCTGCATTCCTGCAGCCATTGAGAAATACTGTGAGAGCTGTTGTTGGTCGCAGCTTGTCACATGGTACAAGGCTGTTGTGAATGGCCTTGTACCACATGACCTCTGCGATCGTTCACAGAATTCACAAGTAGTAAACAATGTCAGGAAGTGATATCTTGTTAACTACTGTTCATGTGATCACCAATTGGCCAAATCACATGAATTGGGACCTCACACAGTAGTCCCATACATTGATCTGTGTTCCGCTGTGTACGGTGGACAAAGCAGGCACAGATCGCAGCACTGCAAGCTCCCAGGGACCACACACAGGCAATGGATGCAGGAGAACGTTTAGAAACATCCCCCTGCATCAACAATGCTCCTGCCTGACAGTTTGTTGGCATGGGCCCAGACAGGAAGAGATTAAAACAGTCAGACGGTTTTATTTCTGTAAAATAAAAATATAATATTAGTGAAAAGGAATTATAATCATTAGTCTACATGGCTATTAGCTCCATGGTTTTATGTAGTTTAAATTACCTTCAGGTCTTCCATGCTCTTTGACATTTCATGTAGAAGTCTGTAGTAATCATTTCCTCTGGTAAGGAGCTCTATGTAGCGAGCCTGGGCTTCAGCAGACTAAAGAAAAGAAAAATATGATTTTTTTTTATGCATTTTCAAGGCCATATGTCCACAAGAAGAAATAACTGATGCTAAAAGATGCTGTTAAATATATATATATATATATATATATATATATATATACATACATATATATATACACATACATATATATATATATATATATATATATATATATATATATATATATATATATATATATATATATAAACACATACATACACACATATACACACACACACACACATACATACACACAGGCCAGTATCTTACAGAAGTGAGTACACCCCTCACATTTTTGTAAATATTTTAATTAACTGTTCATGTGACAACACTGTAGAAATGACACTTTGCTATAATGTAAAGTAGTAAGCGCACAGCTTGTATAACAGTGTACATTTGCTGTCCCATCAAAATAACTCAACACACAGCCATTAATGTCTAAACCGCTGGCAACAAAAGTGAGTACACCCCTAAGTGAAAATGTCCAAATTGGGCCCAATTAGCCATTTTCCCTCCCCGATGTCATTTGACTCATTAGTATTACAAGGTGTCAGGTGTGTATGAGGAGCAGGTGGTGTTACCCTCTCATTCTGGTCACTGGAAGTTCAACATGGCACCTTATGGCAAAAAACTCTCTGAAGATCTGAAAAAAAGAATTGTTGCTCTACATACAGATGGTCTAGGCTATAAGAAGATTGCCAAGACCCTGAAACTGAGCTGCAGCATGGAGGCCAAGACCATACAGCAGTTTTAACAAGACGGGTTCCACTCAGAACAGGCCTCGCCATGGCCGACCATAGGAGTTGAGTGCCGTGCTCAGCGTCCTATTCAGAGGTTGTCTTTGGAAAATAGACGTATGAGTGCTGCCAACATTGCTGCAGAGGTTGAAGGGGGGGGGGTCATCCTGTCAGTGCTCAGACCATAAGCCACACACTGCATCAAATTGGTCTGCATGGCTGTCGTCTCAGAAGGAAGCCTCTTCTAAAGATGATGCACAAGAAAGCCCACAGTTTGAAGACAAGCAGACTAAGAACATGGATTACTGGAACCATGTCCTGTGGTCTGATGAGACCAAGATAAACTTATTTGGTTCAGATGGTATCAAGCATGTGTGGTGGCAACCAGGTGAAGAGTACAAAGACAAGTGTGTCTTGCCTACAGTCAAGCATGGTGGTGGGAGTGTCATGGTCTGGGGCTGCAGGAATGTTGCCGGCACTGGGGAGCTACAGTTCATTGAGGGAACCATGAATGCCAACATGTACTGTGACATACTGAAGCAGAGCATGATCCCCTCCCTTCAGAGACTGGACCACAGGGCAGTATTCCAACATGATAACGACCCCAAACACACCTCCAAGACGACCATTGCCTTGCTAAAGAAGCTGAGGGTAAAGGTGATGGGACTGGCCAAGCATGTCTCCAGACCTAAACTCTATTGAGCATCTGTGGGGCATCCTCAAATGGAAGGTCTCTAACATCCACCAGCTCCGTGATGTCGTCATGGAGGAGTGGAATGGGACTCCAATGACAACCTGTGAAGTTGCGGTGAACTCCATGCCCAAGAGGGTTAAGGCAGTGCTGGAAAATAATGGTGGCCACACAAAATATTGACACTTTGGGCATTTTCACTTAGGGGTGTACTCACTTTTGTTGCCAGCGATTTAGACATTAATGGCTGTGTGTTGAGCTATTTTGAGGGGACAGCAAATTTACAATGTTATACAAGCTATACACTCACTACTTTACATTGTAGCAAAGTGTCATTTCCTCAGTGTTGTCCATGAAAAGATAGAATAGAATATGTACAAAAAAGGGAGGGGTGCACTCTCTTCTGTGAGATACTGTGTGTGTGTGTGTTTGTGACATTATGAAAGGTGTGGTGATTGAGGGGTGCTATGCTTTCATATGTAGGAAACGAAGGTGGAATCCAGTCCAGGTTTTCGGTCCACCTTGACTGGTTCCAAACTGAATTTTCCTTTCTACTTGTGACCACCAACAGATGGTATAAATAAAGCTGGACTGGAGCAAGAGGTTGCTCTTGGCCTGGGACTCAGGAAGCCATACCCGAGAGAGAGCTGTGGATGTGAATGTTTCCTTTATACAAGAAAGGAAAAGGTTTACACAATGTTTTGTTTTGTTGATGACTGGGAGAAGCCCAGTGCCTGTAAAGAGAACAGTAAACACCTGCCCTGAGGCCTGTACCACCAACCTTTGCGGAGTTGCAAAGATACCCCTGCCTGAAGTGTCTTTCATATCCAACACTTCCAGGAGTGTTGGATACCATTCCCCATCTCTGCTCTGTGATTTCTCTCACCAACTAATGTACCACTAGAAGACACAGTAGTGACATTTGGGTTGGTGGAAGGAGCCACAGCTCACAGCAGGGAACCTGGCATTTGATACACCCAGAAGTGTGTTGGATGCCAAGGTTTCTTTGCAGTAGCAGAGAGCAAAGATCTGCGGGGGCAGATATCAGGACAGATAAATATTGCGTTCTTTTACATTAACTGTATTAAGTTCATTAAATATAGTCAAGGATACTGGTTTTAGTAGTCCTAGAATTTATTTGAAAAAAACAAACAAAACAAAAAACAATGAAACATATTGTATCAGTTGATGCACTTACTTCTTGCATTATAATTGTAGATGGTGATTGAACCATGGTCCTCTTTATTGGGATGTTAAGTAGTGTTTCCAGTCCAGAACTATAGGATGCCAGTTGTAGCTCATAATCCTGAGGTGAAAACAAAATTAAGCACATACATCAAAACAGGGCATTTACTGTCATATTGTAATGCATTCTGCATCTTGAAGACTAGGTGGGAACGGTAAGTGAAAATCGAATTCAATCAATAATCTATCATACTAGCCCAACTCAATACAGTCAATATGCTGGTTCGAGTCAATATACAATCTAAAAATAAATAAATATAAATCACATGTGCAGTACTGAATCAAAAAATAAACACACTCAATGGCACAGGCTAATTACTGTACTGTCTAACCAGGTAAAATGAAGTACCATAGTTTGATGCCCATGTGGCTAACAACTGTGGATTGTGATTATATTGTTTTACTAGGTTTCCTGTTTTCTAGTGTAAATATCTAACAAACGTAGTTGCCAAATAGTACAAAATATACATGCTTTGCCCTCATCTTACCTTGATGGCCGATGCACACTGATCTGCCGTCTTTACAACTTCTTCAAGATTATCTCTCTTGCCTTGTATTTCTATATTCAAATTCTGTTTAAAACAAACATGAAAACAGTGATGTACATAAGACATGTTTTCCAATGAACATTAATCTACTACTTTATATAGGAAAAAGAAGTACATTTCATTATGGTACATACAAGGAGATCTGGAAGACCATGTACTATTAGTTGTATTGCCGTGATACAAACCTTTTGCTCGTTTAGGTATCTTGCAACAGAACTGCCATCAGTGAGCTTGCCAGACTCAAGGGTATCTTGCTTATGCTTGGTATCACCAATCCACCTCATCAAGGCCTGGTACATATCTCTATAATTTTTTAGCTGTTTTCCTTGTTTTTCTAGTTCCCATGACCTGAAAGAAAACAACTCCATTTAACCACTTTCCAACAATGCAAAGAGGTTTTCCTTTTACTTTGTGGGGCATGAATCGTAGCTTATTTTTATATAGTTTTCATTGCAGACTAGAATTCTAAAATTAGAGAAAGGTTTACACTCAACAGCTGGCAAAACCAAAAGACTTATGAATACAGGAAATACAGCCATTTCTTTCCTAGCATTGAAATGGTCTTGCAATGTGTACTTGGTTCTGTACTTAAATCTGATAAATAATAAATATAGTATTGTTAAAATGTCACATATCCAAACAAAAACAAAAAAACTCCAAAACAAGCCTATGCTCTATGGCTTCAGTTCACACATGACCTGTGTGGAGAAAATAAAAAAAAAAAAAAAAAAACGGACATGTGGCATGTTTGAACAGTAACAGCATTGAGTTGAAAAAAAACAAAAAACAAAATAACAAAAAGGGTAATAAAATTGCAGTACAATTTTATTACCCTTTTTGTTTTTTTGTTTGTTTCTTTTTCAACTCAATGCTGTAACTGTGCACAAACATGCTACATGTCCGTTTTTGTTTTACATTGCAATGTAAGTTGTAAAGCACATGCATGTGCTATGGTGTGAATGGACCCTAAGGCAGACAACAATATGTAAAGGGGCATCAGCAGATATGATTCAAATTTACTATTCATCAGTCAGCATACTTATTGCCATTTGGCTAATGAGTTACTGTACTTTGCACATCATCCTTTGTCTTGTTAAATATACATCATTCTCAAATTAAAAACCATAAAATATAAACCATCCTAAGTTACCTGTCATCAATTTCTTTTTCTATCCTTTGCCAACGGTCAGTCAGTTGATTGGCCTTGTTGGAGAATTTGGAGATGTCTACTTCACAATAAGGATAGGCCTTGGAAGCACGGTCATTGATTTGTACAGCTGTATTTAGGTCTGAATCCAACCCCTTCAGTTGTGACTTTTTCTGGTCAAGCTCAGCCTTCATTTTCTAAACATTAAAATATTCATGTCAACATCGCATGTCAATAAAAATGGCACATATTTAAGAAAAATAAAAACATCAGAATCTTAAAACAAGCAAAAGAATAAAACATTGACACTAGTGCAGCAGTTACAGTTTATGTTATGCCATTAGACATATACTGTATGTGAAACTGAATCTATGTTGTGTTTTTTGCATCAGTGCTTGATCAAATTCGGTATTGCTGCCTATAATATCTATCTATCTATCTATCTATCTATCTATCTCTATATATATATATATATATATATATATATATATATATATATATCTATATATCTATATATATATATCTATATATATATTTATTTGTCGATTCCTCCAATTACATACTTTATCGTTATTATTTGGTTATACATCAGAAATATACATCTACCGTGACCATTGTAATGGAAATATGTATGACCAGTTGAAATTACTCTCTTTTTAAAACAGATTCTATTCTGTCCTTACTTTTAAGGCATTTCTGTATGCTTCAAGTTTTGCTTGGTCGAGGGAAATAGTTTCTTCCTCAGTCAGTCTGGCTTCATAAACCTTGATGAGATCTTCCAACTGAAGAATACTTTGAAGCAAATTTGTCAGGGCCTGGAGTCTTGAAAGGCAAATGAACACATCAAGTCATTGAAATGCAATACAATTTTTTTTGTCCTTTAGAAGAAAAAGAAATACAAACAACATTTATGGCTGCAAATCTAAGATGGGAAATGTAAATGTGTTCCATAACTTTTTTTTTAATAATTTAATTACAAGCTCCATGACTGAATTCAGCAAAAAATAAACAAGTAAATAAAGCATTAGCACAGTATTACCTAGTTGAAAACATTTCGCAAATATTGGTATCTCTGTGCAGTGTGGGTTCTTTTGTATTTGTGGTTCTTGTATACTTCTAATTGTGGTTAGCTATGTCACTATGCATTAATGAAATTCAAAAACCTTTTGTAGCCAGCAAACAAAACATTTTCTTCAATGTTGACAGTAATCATTAGTTTTACAGGTTCAGACTTGTATACAATGTCATATGATTTTTGCTTTACTAAAAAACAGTTTACCAATTTTTAAAAGGTAGATGAAAAAAGTGAGTATTTGCAATGTCATAGAGACATCTAGAAATACACTGCTCAAAAAAATTAAATTAAAGGAACACTTTTTAATCAGAGTATAGCATCAAGTCAATTAAACTCCTGGGATATTGATCTGGTCAGTTAAGTAGCAGAGGGGGTTGTTAATCAGTTTCAGCTGCTTTGGTGTTAATGAACAACAGTACACTAGATGGGCAACAATGAGTTGACTCCCAAAACTGGAATGGTTTTACAGGTGGAGGCCACCAACATTTTTTTCCCGACTCCTTTCCAACTGTTTTTCACTAGTTTTGCATTTGGCTAGGGTCAGTGTCACTACTGGTAGCATGAGGAGATACCCAGACCTACAGAGGTTGCACAGGCAGTCCAACTCCTCCAGGATGGCACATCAATATGTGCCATTGCAAGGTTTGCTGTGTCTCCCAGCACAGTCTCAAGAGCATGGAAGAGATTCCAAGAGACTGGCAGTGACTCTAGGAGAGCTGGACAGGGCCGTAGAAGGTCCTTAACCCATCAGCAGGACCGGTATCTGCTCCTTTGTACAAGGAGGAACGGGATGAGCACTGCCAGAGCCCTACAAAATGACCTCCAGCAGGCCAATGGTGTGAATGTCTGACCAAACAATCAGAAATAGACTTCATGAGGGTGGTCTGAGGGCCAAACATCCTCTAATGGGCCCTGTGCTCACTACCAGGCACCATAGAGCTCGATTGGCATTTTCCATTGAACACCAGCACTGGCAGGTCCGCCACTGGTGCCCTGTGCTTTTCACAGATGAAAGCAGGTTCACCCTGAGCACATGTGACAGACATAAAAGGGTCTAGAGAAGTCATGGAGAACATTATGCTGTCTGTAACATTGGTCAGCATGACCGTTTTGGTAGTGGGTCAGTGATGGTCTGGGGAGCCATATCCATGTGGTGACTGACTGCCATCAGGTATTGGGATGAAATCCTTGGACCCTTTGTCAGACCCTACACTTGTGCAGTGGGTCCTGGGTTCCCCTGGTGCATCACAATGCCCGGCCTCATGTGGCAAGAGTTTTGCTGGCAGTTCCTTGAGGATGAAGGAATTGATACCATTGAATGCCCCACGCTCACCTGACCTAAATCCAATAGAACACCTCTGGGATATCATGTATTGGTCCATCCGACACCGCCAGGTTGCACTTCAGACTGTCCAGGAGCTCAGTGATGCCCTGGTCCAGATCTGGGAGGAAATACCCCAAGACACCATTAGTTGTCCCATTAGGGGCATGTCCAGACAAAGTTAGGCATGCATACAAGCACGTGGAGGCCATACAAACTACTGAGTACCAATTTGAGTTCCTGCAGTGAAATTTCAGCCAAGTGGTCTAGCCTGCTGCATCATATTTTCCACTTTGATTTTTGGGGTGTCATTGAATGCAGTCTTCTGTAAGTTGATAATTTTAATTTCCATCAAACGATGGGGCATCCTTACTTTCCTAACACATTACCCAGTCCATATCAGTATAGATATCCAGCATATTTTTCCCCATTGAGATCTGATGTGTTTTTAAAGTGTTCCTTTAATTTTTTTGAGCAGTGTACCAATTGTGCCAAAGCAATACCTTGAAATAATCTACGCTTTCTGAATTTCCTTTAGAAAATAGCACTTCCTGGCATGTGTTTTAGGTACTCCCATGCCCAGGGCAAGGAGGGGGCAGAAGAGGCACATGCTCTGGGCACAATGTTCTGTAACAGGGGGACAATGGGAGCCTAAAGCGGTTCCTTTTTCCAGCTGCCTCACTAACAGGAGTGATGGGCAGTGTCCCTTCTGTCAGAGAAGACTGTTGTCCCTCCAGGTCAGAACATGACCAAGAGCAAGGGGCCTTGATAGCTGCATGAGGAAGGATTTTACTCTCTCTCTTCTCTAGTAGCAGCCGTACTGATGACTAGTTGTTTGTTCTCTACTTGTCTTTTCTGGACCCAGCTTCCACACCAAAGATCATCTTTAAAAGAAAACCAGTAGTAGCCAGTAGTTGCTTGGCTGTCATGCTGATAACAAGTGGCTTCAGTACGTTTTGAGTTACTTAGAATTAGTATGCAGATCAAGAGATCGACTTGACTCCGATTACTACTTTTAAAGGAAATCTGTCATGAGATAAGAAGGCTGCCACTGCGGATTTCTCCTTCTAAATATCTTAGTTGTGTAGATGCCCTGTTGACCCTCTTGGCCCTATGGTCACTGACCAGAAACAAGCATGCAAAGACTTTTCTCCAACTTTTTAGATCTGCATAGCTGTTTTTGGTCAGTGACTCAGAGGGTTCAGAAACCAGTAGATCAGCATACCAGCAAGGGTAACATTTTCAAAATTGCAAAAATGCAGTTAAAGAGCAAGTTCAACTCTGGAACATGTTACATGCTCCACCCGTTATTAGGGATCTTCTCTCCGCACCTGCTGTCACAATTTCAAAAACTTGGCCATGCGGAGCTCCACCCACAAGGTCATGTCATTCACTCACAGTTTCCTGTGAATGAATGCCTACAAGTACCATCATCCATTGCAGCTGACGACTTGTAGTTCTCAATGAACTATGAGGGCGATAGT